CGTAAGGTCCTCTTGACACATTGCTTTAGGTATAGCTATGAAGTTGTACATTTGACGTGCCAGAAGTTAATTCGCAAGTCGCGGTAATGAAATTTTAGCTGGTTATTTTTTAGGTTACGTCAAATTTCATTTAGTTACTAGATGGTAGCTTGTCGCATTCAGCCTTTAAGTAAATGTACTTAACAAAGTTCTTTAAGCAAAAAGGCTATACCGTTAATTAAAAAAAGAACGCTTGTTCCTTTATTAGCAAAAGTTTATAAGAAGATATTTACTGTTTTCAATAAAAAAATATTATTATTGCTTTTTATTTGCATTCTATAGAAGCTAAGTAATATTTTTTTCCATTTTAACCTGCTGTAGATTGTGAACTAGAACGAGTAATCCCATAATATGAGCATTTCATACTCGTTGTATTAGAACGAGCTCTGAATCACAGTTTCGCAATACTGTCTTCAAGAGTACAATGTCACTACCATGAACAACAATGAAAAACTTAAACAATAAAAAATTTAAAAAAACATTAAATTACTTACGGTTTGATTAATGGCTAAAGACTTTGAACATTTAAGATTCTTGTTGCTACCTTAGTTTCGTTTAGTGTTACAACTAAGGTCAATAACACATACAATTTTTCACTGATAATCTATTTAAACAGAAGTCAAATTTAAACATTAGAACAAATTAAGCATTTTTGTTCTCGACTTCCGAATTAAGTAATAGATACGAAATGTTAACAGTAATAAATGCGCTATTTCTGTACACATTTTGTTGTATAAGTGCCCAATATTTAATAATGAGAGGTGGATCATTGCGCAAGTGCCATTAAATATCTCTGATTTTGGTATAACAGAAAAGGTATGGGAAAGCACACTAGGGCTATCTGCCTAAGGGGAAGGAGGCCTTCATAGAGGACATTCTAAGCAAAATGACTCGTATAAATGTTACACATGGGGAAAATCATGAAAACGCCCGTGCAGGTAGTCCGTTCGCCTCTAACAGAAAGTGGATACATTATGACTAAATAAAGAATTGCTGTTGGCAATGCAAAATTTACGTTACTTATTTTATTTGAATTAAAATCCTTTTTATCTGTGGGGCTGAAAACATCTGTCTTCACAGTACGAAAGCTTCAGCAGTTATGGCGTGTTGCAACTCAACTCTTGCTGAGATCCGATGGCTGAGTGACGTCATCTTGAACTCTGAACTCTCGCTTAGAGATCACGAGAACTGGGGACTGGGAAGTCGCACGCTGCGTCGTCCGAACATTTAAACCTTTTCATTATGTAAATATCCTGTAACCGTTTGCGTATTCATTAAATATGGTTTGTGTTAAGAAAGTTTATCATTTATGGATTATCCCTTTCAAGATTTGCAGATAAGAGTCCCTGAGAAGAATGCATCCAGTGGCCCTGGCCGAACCCATTGGAACAAGGTAAGCAGTTTTGTTTTACCTTGATTAATTAGTTATAATTATTTAAATAACACTATCGATAACGATAAGGACAATAAATAATAATATTGTGGCGCCATAACGTGGGCCATAGGGTTGAATTTGAACTGAAATTTAATAGATTTTGCTTAAGCAAAAACATGGATTTAGAAAAATTAAAAAAGAAACGATCTGCTATAAGAGCAGTAGTTACGAGGCTGATAAACAAGATAGAAACAGAAATTGCTAATGAGGGGGATAAAAATGTAATTGAAGAAACGGTTGCTCAGTTAATTAGTAAAGAAGAAGAACTAATCTTAGCGGATAATAGTATTGAAACTTTAATTGATGTAGCAAATTTAGAAGATGAAATAATGTCTAGAGAAGAGTATAAAAGTAAAATTATTGTTTGGAAATTACGCGCGAAAGGATATTTAAATACTAATCCACATAGCGCTAATTCTACTTCATATGGAACTGTCACTGAATCGCAGAACAAAATTAAACTTCCCAAATTGGCCCTGGAAACATTTTCGGGAAAGGACGTGTGCAGTTGGGCCGGGTTTAGGGCACGATTTGAGACAGCTGTACACGAAAACGAAAGTCTACATGCCGTAGATAAATTTAACTATTTAAAGTCAATTCTTACTTCCGATGCAGAAACTGCAATACAAGGGTTGACATTAACAGCGGAGAATTACGAGAAGGCTGTGAAAATATTAAAAGGTCGCTTCGGACTCAAAGAACTAATAATAGATACCCCTATGAACAATTTATTAACTCTGACTTCGGTTAAAAGGTCTGGCGATGTGAACAGCACTTCGAAAAAATTATATGATCGTTGTGAAGTACAAATTAGAGGATTAGAATCGTGTAATATTTTACCGGATTCGTACAGTAACCTTATTGTATCTCCTAGATATTAATAAAGGTGATTCCGAATGATTTAGCACTAGAATTTAATAGGAAATATGAAGATAATAATCAGACAAAAATTACGAATTTGCTCCATTTTCTAAGAAAAGAAATAGAAAGTCGAGAACGTACAGGATTTTTAATTAAGCCAACAGATTCTGAAGTCACTGAAAAGGAAATCCCATTTGGAAAATAAGCGGCAGTTTGAAGAACGTTTTCGAGACAGCGAAAGAAATCGGGATTATAATAAGGGTAGAATTCCTTCAGCGGGCAGCGTTAAACACATCACTATCTAATAGCTGTTTATTCTGTTCTGAAAATCATACGTCAGAATCATGTCAAAAAAACTGTGCCAGAGAAAAAGGGAAGCGTTAAGGCGAAGGGGATTTTGTTTCAGGTGCCTCAAAAGGATACCATTTAGCGAGGATGTGCAAATCGAAAACTAACTTGTGGTATTTGCGATCGGCGACATCATACATTGATACACTCTGACGAAACGAATGCGTCAGACAAGAGTCCCGTCCAAAGGGGCAGTAGTCTCTTCTGTTTCCGATTGCGCAACAGCAAATAACTCATTTTCTTCTGACCGCACGAGCTGAAATTATAAACACAGGCAATTGGCGCCAGCAAAGCGTTCGCTTGTTGTTTGATTTAGGATCGAAGCGAACATTTATTAGAGAGGACATCTGTAAGAAATTAAAACTCCCCGTTATTTGAGAAGAAAAAATAAAAATATTCTCTTTCGGTTGCACGATCTGAAGCGCAGAATGTTCAAAAAACCAGGCTCATTTTGCGTAATTCGAAGAATCGATATGAAATCAAAATAGAAGCTTTAATTATTCCTGTCATTAATGGATCACATATTCATTCCCCTAGAAATGAAATAGTTAATCTTATTAAAAAACAGGGCATACAACTTTCCGATGAATGGGGACCAGGGAATAAACCGCCGAAAATTTCTTTGTTGATAAGAGCGGATTTTTATTGGAAGATAGTTACGGGTAAGGTTCACAGACTGTCTAATTCCTTAGTAGCGGTTGAAACAAAATTGGGTTGGACCATTAGTGGAACCGAAAGGGCTTACGGAATTTCACAAACTAATGTGAATACGATGAAGATTGTGGTTTATAATAATGAAGATACACAGAACGAATCACTGTCTAGTTTGCTGAAGAATCTCTGGGAGCTCGATTCTATGGGGATAAGTTATGATTCGGATAAGGAACTCGAATTAGAAGATAATTTAGTTTTCGATAATTTCAAAAAATCTGTGAAATTTGAAAACAATCGTTATATGGTGCGCCTTCCTTGGAATCATAATTCAAATGAGCTAGGAGATAATCTGGAGATTGCTAAAATTAGATTTAAGAGTTTAAGTCGTAGATTTCAGAATAATCAACAGTTCTATGACAGATATCGCGAAGTAATTGATAGGTACTTAAAAGAAGGAATCGCCGAAGAGACTAACATTGAAATTGGACCAAAAACGTATTTTATGCCGCATCAAGCCGTTATAAGAGAAAGCAAGGAAATTACAAAACTCCGTGTGGTTTTTGACGCTTCGTCACATGCGGAGAATTGTTTGTCATTAAATGACTGTTTACATTCAGGTCCTAAGATGTGTCCAGACATACTGGAATTGCTTCTTAAGTTCCGTCAAAATCGAATTGCGTTTACAGATGACATCGAACAAGCATTCTTGCAGATTTCTCTTGCTGATGAAGACAGAAACGCAGTCAAGTTTCTATGGAACGATGGTGAATTAAATGGAACCAAAATAAAGGCTCTTCGTATGACAAGGGTAATTTTTGGAGCAACATCTAGTCCGTTTCTTCTCAGAGCAACTCTTAATGTACATGTTGACAAATACAAGTTACAGTATCCGAACATATTTTCCATGCTAACTGAAAATATGTATGTTGACGATTTAATCGCTGGAGCAGATGAAGAATCAGAAGCATTCGAGTAATCGGAACATATTAAACGCATACTGAAAGAAGGTGGATTTAACTTGCGGAAGTGGAAAACGAATGAAACGAATTTACAAAGGGTATGGAATGAAGAAGATTTTTCACACGATTCGACTTGTTCTAAAGTATTGGGATACATATGGAATAGGTCAAATCAAATGATACATTTTGATAGAAATTGAAGAGTTGGTAAAAGATGCCAAAAGGATAGATAACATACCAACTAAAAGGGAAATCTTGAGATCTGTAGGACGTTTCTTTGATCCACTGGGGTTTTTAAATCCATGCACCATTCGAGCTAGGATTTTATTACAAGATTTATGGGAACAAAAGATAGCATGGGACACTGAAATACTAGAAAATCTCAGAAAGAATTGGCAAAGCTGGTGTGATGAATTAGCTCATATTTCTAGTTTGGAAATACCAAGACATCAGTTTGTAGGTGCTGGGAAAAGAGATATAAAGGATGGTTTACAGTTACACTGTTTCACAGATGCGAGTCAGAAGGCCTATGGGGCTGTTCTGTATTTTCGTTATTCGAAAAATGGAGTCATTCATACAAGTTTCATTACATCAAAATCACGAGTAGCACCTTTGAAAAAATTATCACTTCCCAGATTGGAATTGATGGGCGCTTGTCAAATTACATTCAAAAGAAACTTCGTGACATTGATTTAATTGTATATATGTGGACCGATTCTAGTATAACGTTACATTGGATTAGAAGTGATGTGAAAAGGTGGAAGCCATTCGTTCAGAACAGAGTGAAGGAAATACAGAAGAATTCAGAGGTCTTGAACTGGAGATATACGCCTGGTGAACATAATCCAGCTGATTTACTAACGAGAGGTGAAAATGTCAAACATCTGAAGCAGAATAGCATATGGTGGGAAGGGCCCACGTGGATGAAAGAAGAAATGGAACACTGGCCAAAACCGACTTTATGTTCCACAAAGAACATTGAAGATTCCAACAAGGAACTAAGAAAAACATCAAAGGAAGTTTTCGTAAATGCATGCGTTACCGAACCTTCCGAAGATTTATTTAAAACCCAAAATTACAGCAATTTACACAGAATTTACCGAATTACTGCATGGTGCTTAAGGTTCATCAACAATGTTAAAAATACCTCGAAATTATCAGGATGTTTGCAGGTTACCGAATTGGAAATGGCAGAAACGTATTGGATCAAACGTGTTCAGGAGCGAAATTTTACAAATGAAATACGGGCATTGAAGAACAACGATGAATTAAGTTCAGAATCAAAACTAAGGTCCCTCAATCCATTTGTAGACGAAAGTGGTGTAATTCGTGTTGGTGGACGATTAGAAAATTCAAATTTGGATTACAAACAAGCACATCCAATCGTGTTGCCTGACAAATATCATTTGACTGATCTAATTATTCTTCACAGTCATCAGGTGGTAGGGCACGGAGGAATAGCAGATACTTTAAATCAGATAAGAGATAAATTTTGGTTGCTGAAGGCTTGTCGAAAAATTAAAAGTGTTCTGTACAATTGCAATGTCTGCAAAATATTTCGAACTAAACCTGTCATACAAGATATGGCACCTCTCCCACCAGACAGATGCCGAGAAGCCTTTCCGTTTGAGAACTCCGGAATAGATTACGCGGGTCCACTGTATGTCAAAAGTGGAAGAGAATTATCTAAGACATACGTCTTACTGTTTACCTGTGCTGTAACTAGAGCCGTGCATTTAGAACTTACGGCTGACCTTTCCACAGCAAAAATTTTGCTTGCATTTAGACGGTTCATAGTGAGAAGAGGTTTGTGCCGAATAGTGTACACCGATAACGCCAAAACCTTTAAAAGAGCGAAAAAAGAATTAGAACTATTGAACGAGGTGATGAAAAGCAATGAAGTTCAAGACGAGTTCTCTAAGCAAGGAATCAAATGGAAATTTATAGTTGAGAGGGAGGCATGGTGGGGAGGCTTTTGGGAGCGTATGGTTCAGTCTGTTAAAGCTCTTCTAAAGAGAATCTTAGGCAAATCATCCTTGACATTCAGGGAATTAGAGACAGTCGTAACAGAAGTGGAAGCTATATTAAACTCCAGATCTTTAACATTTACATACTCGGATCTAGGAGAGCCAGAATCTTTGACCCCTGGTCACTTCTTAATAGGAAGACGATTACTATCATTGCCACAAGGAATCTCTAAATTAACTTCAACAAAGGAGAGTCTTACACGTCGATTTAGACATCAACAGATGCTGGTAGAAAGAATCTGGCGAAAATGGAGGCAGGATTATTTGATGAATTTAAAATCTGCTCATCATTCCAAACTGGCGAAAACACTAACCTGTTTGAAGAAAGGAACTATTGTATTAGTGCATGAAGATAAAATTCCAAGGCTGATCATAATGGGAGTCTTTCCTATGAGAGATGTCAAGGTGAGAGCATGTGCTGTCCGCTTGCCCAATGGGCATACGATTAAAAGACCAGTGCAATTACTATATCCAGTGGAGCTGGAATGTAATAAGGACAATTACGGCAATTGTCCTTCCGGGCGAGAGGATGTTGCAACTCAACTCTTGCTGAGATCCGATGGCTGAGTGACGTCATCTTGAACTCTGAACTCTCGCTTAGAGATCACGAGAACTGGGGACTGGGAAGTCGCACGCTGCGTCGTCCGAACATTTAAACCTTTTCATTATGTAAATATCCTGTAACCGTTTGCGTATTCATTAAATATGGTTTGTGTTAAGAAAGTTTATCATTTATGGATTATCTCTTTCAAGATTTGCAGATAAGAGTCCCTGAGAAGAATGCATCCAGTGGCCCTGGCCGAACCCATTGGAACAAGGTAAGCAGTTTTGTTTTACCTTGATTAATTAGTTAGAAGTAACGATAGGATATAAATAATAATATGGCGAATTCTCGAAGTACCTGCAAAACATTGCTAATGTGTGTTAAAATGTAAGGTGAAGTTTACTGTAACTTCTAAACAAAACCCAATCTTAAAAAATAAATCGCATATTCGTGATCAGGAAGTGAATATAAACTCATTTAATTTATTTTCCTCAATAATGCCAAAGCTTCAAAATACGAGAAAAACGTTGCTAACGCAAATTAAAATGCCGTCCTAATCAGTATAGTGCGTAACGTTATTGGCTGCCGAATCATCTGGCACGGGTTCGAATCCCAGACGAGGCACTGTACTATTTTTAGAGCATTTAAAATAAATGCAAGCCGAATGCCCTCTCGAGTGGTTTGCTGGCAAGGGAAGAGGAGTTGGAAACCCTGGACCCGTTCCCTAAAGAACTGCTCTGCAAAATTGGACGGAATTGTGCAAAATCGGACTGGTGACAAAGTCATACCTGCACAAAAGATCTGCTCCCAATAGCATGCAAAAAAACCGTCGATTTGTTTGATGTTATCAGAGAAGTAATGTAAATCAAAACAACAAAATGCAACAAGAGCCTTGTTTCAATTTCTAAATAAGAACTAATGTTAAAAATAAATTGCATATTCGTATTCAGGAAATGAAATTTAGCAAGGAAAAGCTTTGAGAAAAGTAGAAACTTTTACGAACAGTGATATTTATCTAATTTTCTAATTATTTAGCATTTAGAAACGAAAAGAAATTAGGAATTTTGTGCTAATTTCTACGATTTATATACATGTAAACATGTTGTGAGTTTTAATTGTCTCAAACCGAAGGCATGAAAAACTCTAAACGCGTTATTTTTTTATTAGAATAACTCACCCTTGTTCTTTCAGCAGCTGTACCACATTTGGCTGTTTTCAATACAAAGTTTTGATTGAAATTTGATACAGTATTTTGCATTCACTAGATAATATGCTTTTTAATCCGGTATGAGCAGAACACTTGGGTTAGTATGTAGGGTTTTCCTTTTTTTGCATAACAAATTTATTTTAAGTTTTCCTGTTCTAAACTTCTCAACTTCCCCTCACATTCTCTCGGCACGATGTAAATTTAAATTTGTGATTATTAAGTGCTATTTAAACGTGTGATTATCTCAGTTAATTCAGAGCGTGTTTCGCTAGCCAAGCGCACGTTTCGTTGTTATTTCGTGGTCACGCTATATAGTAAGCTTCTTGCCTTATCAGTTTAGTATCACGCCGGTTAGCTTTCTTGTGAGTCTACCTCTTAGGCGTAAACTGAAGTGCGTTCTTCCACTCTTTATTTTTCAGATTTGATTTGTATTATAATCTACGTTTAGTTACCGTCGCAGGTGAACGGTGTTTTTGTAACGCACGAAGTTCGTGCCTTTTTGTTAAATTAGTTTGATTTAATAAAAGGTTATTTTGCACCTTTCTTCTGTGCTGGTATTTAATTCACGCCTGTGCGAGAATTCGCCAGGTTCATTGTAGGATCTAATTTAGTTTATATGGAAGAATAGAGATAGGCCTTACAAGTAAAATACAGTAGATGGAATGAAAGCAGGTACTCTGATTTTCACCTATAGGGATAAAACCCAGATTTTAGAAATGTTGTAAATCATCTCACATTCTCATAAATCAGTTTTGGCTTTATAAAAATCACAAAAGCGGGTTCTGAGGTCTGAAATATATTTCCTCGAGATCAATCCGACCAACCTGTTTAAATTAAACTCTGCATTTGAGACAGAAATCACCTCAACGCATTTCGAAAATACCAACTCCTTGTGACTTAACTAATTAAGACAACTAATTGATGATGAGTGATATTCGGTTGAGAGGCTAATTCATATTCGCTGTTTAATGCACTTAGTGTTATTTCCTCTTTTCTCTAATGGAAAAGCAATCTCAAGAGTAAATAGTTTTCTGACAGTTATGGAAGCAGTGGCAGACTGTAAAATATTTTACATACAATTATCATATCATAAATATATTACTGCAGGATGAAACGGCAATAAACTAAATAATTTTTTAAACTTAGTGTAAAGCTAATTTTAATTAATATATCCCAGTGGCCTTCAAACTTTATGGATTCAGAGAATCCTTAGAACTATAGGTTTATTTGGGAAACCCAAATAACCTTAGCAAAAACATCTTAAAATACTAAAAATAGATCTATATGGTATGTGTACTGTATTTAAAGACAATTAAAGAAAATATTATAGTTTTTATTAAAAAATGTAACATGAACATAGCGTAACTTACTCATTAATAGCATTAACTCGTACCTCAGGTGTTTAGTGACAGCTGTGTTCTTGCATTTTGTAAAACAAGCTGTTGAAGTCCAGCTCTGTTTATGTTATTCATAGTCGCATTTCATATTCTATGATTAATTGGTTTCTATATTTTGCTTTTGTTGCCACATAAGCTGGATAAAATGTTTCACCTAAATACGTTCCATACAGTGAAAAATGACGTACTTCTCCAAAAACGTGAACGTCTCTCATTTTAAGTGGAAAAAGTAGGTTTTTTACATGCTTTTAACATATTTTTAAGATAAGAAAATCTAAAATATAGGCCAAAAAATAAAAGAACTTGTATAAAAATGGAGATGGACGTTGCAAAGCACTAAAATAAAAAATATATAATATTAAGGTGAAGTAAGTTATCTTCTTCACCATTAATTTATAATTTTGTCAACAGTCTATCACCATATTTTGCAGCAAATTTTCTTAAAGATATCACCTGATATTCTCCAGGATTTAAATTCCCTAAGCTCTGAATTTCTTGGTATGATTTGACATTCATTTATTGGTAAACATTTTTAAAGGCAATTGCGATAAAATAATAATAGATCCATTTATTAGGATGAAGAAAGCGGAGATTTTCGCTCCTAAATGTTCGGCTTAACCCCCAAAAAAACGTCGGGGTTAAAATCATTTATTTAGGTTTATTTTGATAATGACCTAATGCTCTTGTATGAATCCCATCGTCTAGTATAAATCTTATCTTCTTGAGGTAATGATAATTTGTTTATTTCAAATTAATATAAATCATGATTCTTTCCGATGGACAGTAACATCAGATCAGATCTCTAATTCGAGCAAACCTACGCCAATCATCGTGGCAAGCGGTGAAGATTGCGCCTGCCGTTGGCAAGAGCTTGAGCGTCATATCACAATACGAACTTTGCTCAGTTCCGGCCCCAATTTTGAAGAACAGTACCCGGCGGAAGACGGATTCGAGAGTCTCCCACACCTCTTTCCCTATCCCCACCCTCTGTAGAGGACGTTCAGCTAGCCGCATATTTAGAGTGCCCCGCATGCCGCACTATACATTTACAGAAATCTATGCACTATACATTTACAAATATCTATGCCTATTTCGGGATTCGAATCCGGGCCCTTCGGTACGTCAGTCAGCGTCGCTAACCACTATCCGCTTGGGAGGCTGATTCTTTCTTCTAATAAGAGTCATGGATTATACTGTTCATTTTTATTATATAAACAGTTTTTATAATCTCCAAAAGTTGTTCTATTTTCAGCTACACATTTCTTAGTTCATTCGGATATTTTAATTATTTTGTCATCAATTTTATTAGCTTACATTTTTATCTACTATTTTTAATCCTACAAATTCAATAAATATTTTACCTTTGTTTTCGCCTGTCCTTTTACCTAACACACTCTTAGACCAAAAAAAGACGCACCAAGAAAAAGTTATCAGAATGGGACGAAAATCGATAGAAGTGATGTATATGTACATAAAAACAAATGATTACAGTTTGAGAAAAATTGGATGATTTATTGAAGTGATAAAGCATCACAAAGTGAAAAAGTCAGTAACACGTTTGTCCACATCTGGCCCTTATGAAAGCAGTTATTCGGCGAGGCAACGATTGATAGAGGTTGCGGATATCCTCCTGAGGGATATCGTGCCAAATTCTGTCCAACTGGCGCGTTAGATCGTCAACATCCCGAGCTGGTTGGAGGGCCCTGCCCATAACGCTCCAAACGTGCTCAATAGGAGAGAGATCCGGCGACCTTGCAGGCCAAGGTAATGTTCAGCAAGCACTAAGGCAAGCAGTAGAATTATGTGCAGTGTGGGGGCGGGCATTATCTTGCAGAAGTGTAAGCCCAGGATGACGTGACATGAAAAGCAACACAACGGGACTTAGAACTTCGTCGACGTACCGCTATGCTGTATGGTCGCGACGGATGACAACCAAAGGGGTCCCACTATGAAATGAAATGGCACCCCAGACCATCACTCCTGGTTGTCGGCTTATCTGCCGGAAGAGTCAGGTTGGTATCACACCGCTGTCCGGAGCGTCTCCAGACTCGCCTTCGCTGGTCATCGGGGCTCAGTTCAAAACGGAGACTGATCACTGATGACTATTCTACTCCAGTCAGTGATATTCCAGTGCGAATGGCCCCAGCACTACTGCAAACGGGCTTGCCGTTGTACAGAGGTCAATGGTAGTCGGCGCAAGGGGCGCCGTGTCCTCAGGTTCCTTTCTGTGAGCCGTCTATGAATGGTCCTTGCGGTCACTGAAGCACTAGTTGCACGTACAATCGATGATAATGATGCATCTGGGGCTGTGAGTGCCGCTCTGACGATTGCTCGCTCTTCACGTTCTACGTTCTCTAGGCCTCCTGTTTCTTCTTGACGGCTGTGTGGCAGGCCACGTTTCCAACCATTCCTGCCAACATCGTCTAATAGTGGCATCGCTCCTGCTTAAATGTCGAGCTATTTCGCCGATAAGACCAACCGGCTTTTTTGAGGCCCCAACTACACGACCCTCTCAAAATCTGACATCTGCGCATATCGTTCGTTGCACCTGCATGCGAGGCATATTTACTGTCTACCAGAGTACACGAAATGAAATTCATGAAGAATTCATGACCTGGAATCGTAATTTTTCCTCTTAAATATCCTGCCAGTTGCGCAGATCAGATGCGC